TAAAATTGCCTCCAAAAGTCAGACAAGAATATACTGGGTGAAAATCTGGGGTTTTGTAATGAAAATTCAGTATTCACAGCATCCTTGTACATTTTATAAATCATAATGCTTAAATTTGTTTTGAATTGTACTCTAATATAAGGATTTCTAACGAGGATATTGTTCACTCCACTCATTGATATTTTTTCCCAATGAAGTGAAAACTTGTGCTTAACCTTGACTTGTGAATTGTGCATTTGGGAAAGATGATTGAGTGTGCTAATTTTAAAAATTATTTAAGAAGCCACAGACTTTCAGGTGGCATTTAATTATATTTTTAATGCACAATTTTTGTATTTATGCATACAAGAACTGGGGTGTAGGCTAGAGGTGTGGGGGTTGGAGGGCAGAACAGGCAGAGCCACTGAAATATACAGCTGAGGGGAGCAGCAGGGGAGACTGAGAGGTCTGCTGCTGTGCCATGTGGGAAGCTCCCTGGCCAGGGATTGAATTCATGCTGCAGTGGCCGGCAATAGCTTGATAGCACTGAGACTTTAGTCCCCGTGTCACCAGGGAGGCCCTAATCCACAATTTTTGAATAAAAAAGCGAACTTGTGTAGTCACATAATGAAGTCAATGGCCATGGTCTATACTGGTTCCTCCAGGTTCATGGTCTATACTGTCCCTCCAGACACAAGGTCCTTATTGAATGGTTAAGGGTTTGTCAATTGAGTCGTCACTGCTGACTCATTCTGCTTCCCTGCCTTTCTTCTCATTCATTTCCTATTCTACCTGTGCATCTCCGCTTTGCTATGGCACATGGTGATGTTTGTAGGATACATGAAGGGATATGGAAATGGCTTTTTGTGGCTGGAGGAAGCTGACTAGGAGTTTGGAGGGATCCCCGGCACCCCCTCTTATTTCCCTGTTTCCCAGACTTGCCCTGCTGGACTGAGAAGTTATAATTTACAGCCACTTTTTATTTCAGTCTTCATAGAAGTAGATTTTTTGTTGTTGCATTACATGTAACTACCCGTAATTTTAAAATGATCTTATAATATGGCATAAAAAAACAAGTAATAGAAAATACATATATAACGCCCAGTTTACAAAGTTCAAAAACAAGTGAAACTACACTTGTCTAGGGATATTTACATATGTGATAAAATAAAGGAAATGCAGACAATTACAAATGAAATTCATGATTAGTGTTATTTCTCATTGGATGAGGGATCCCAAACAGAGAACTGAAACAGTATTGGTAATATTTAAGTTCTTAAATTGGATATTGAGTTTATAGTTTTATTTAAGGTGTTTTATAAACTACATGAATATTTTTGATAGCATATTTCATAATAAAATAAATTAACACGTAAAAATGGAAAATGTTTAGAAAGAAAAGATCTTAGCACAAATCTCTTACCACCAATTGTGTTAATACTTACAAGTTATAAAAGTACTTATAAGTTATACGTATAAGTTAATATACTTATAAGTTATACTTAAGTTAATACTTATAAGTTATACTTATAAGTTAATACTTATAAGTTATAAAAATAACAATATAAGATATATAATCTACCCAATTACTATTGTTTCATTTATTTTCTTCCAATATGAATGTTTACATTCTTAGTTACAATCACAATGTTACATAGTGGGCAGAAAGTTTTCCTTTTTTACAGTTTATAGTTGTAAGTTTAATGAGTGAATAATACTCCCTTTAGTATCATAGTATAATAACCATTCCTTAGTGGTAAAATATTTTAAGTTGTTTCAACTTTTCTACTGCTGTAAAATGTAGTCACGGTTATTGTATTCATTCATATACAATTTACATATATAAGGCATTCTGCTACATGCTAAAATTATAGTGGTAAACAAAAAGAGGCATAATCCCTGTCTTTGTGGAATTTAGAATCTAGTGACTAACAATTCTATATTCTATTTTGCACTTTAACCACATGAATTCTCACTTGTAAAATAACCTTATTTTGAGAGAAATATAGATCTACATGTATTTGTAAGAAACAATAAAGAACAATCCCACATACCCAACACCAAGTTTTCCCCAATGGTAAAATCTTGCATAACTATAATTCCACCACCAGGAAATTGACATTGATACAATTCACCAGCCTTATTTAGATTTCACCAGTTTTACGTGTATTCATCAGTATGTGTGTTACATGTATGTGTTTTCATGCAGTTTTATCAAGTCTATAGATTGGTATCCGCACCACAACCAGGTACAGAATAGTTGTATCAGAGGCACCCTTGTGCTACCCTTTTGTAGCTATAGGCAACTTCTTCTCCTCCTGAATCCTGGCAACTATGAATCTATTCTCTATTCCTCTGATTTTTATCATGTGAATACCATTTTTATCAGTGGTATTCAATACCATTTTTGTCAGTGGTATTCAAATGGAGTCACATCATTTGTTACCTATGGGACTTTATTTTTTTACTCAGTGTAATTCCCTTGTGAGCCATCCACATTCTGTGATATTAATACTCCCTTTTATTATCAAGTAATATTTCATTGTATGGAGGGGCCATATTTGTATACCTGATGAAGAACATTTGGGCTGTTTACAGTTTTCCACTATTATGAATCAAACCACTATGAATATTTCCTCAACGTTCATTTTGATGATTTTGTGCAAAATTAAATCATCAAGACTTCAACTTCTGTGCTGCAACCCCTAGTGTCTGTCCACATTTGGCTTATCTGTATAGTCTATAAGTAAGTCTGATGATGGTATGGTGTTTAGTTTTAATATTTCATATCTCAAGATACATTAATTTGTCTACATAGCTAAATTCTGTTATTCATGTAACAAGTGAAGCATATCCTGATGCTGTCTTAAATGTCCTTTGGAACTTAAAAGGATGAAACCCGATTTTCTCTTGGGCTGTTTGTCTCTTGAGGAAGGGGACTTGTCAGAGCCTCCTTGTGCAAAGAAGTTTTCCATTGATGTTCATTCAGTGAATACCTTTGATCCTTAGGATTGTTTGAGTGTATTTGGGAAAAAAGGACATACAGAGGATGGCTAAGGTACATTTTCACATTATTTTTTAATTTTTTTAAAGATTTATTTATTTATGCATACAAGAACCGGGGTATAGGCCAGAGGTCTGGGAGGTGAGAGAATTCACCAGAGACAGAGAGGGGAACAGAACAGGCTGACTGACAAAATGCACTGCTGATGGGAGCAGCAGGGGAGCCAGGAGAGGTCTTCTTTGCCATGTGGCTTGCTTCCTGGCAGGCCTGGGATTGAACTCATGCTGCAGAGGCTGCGGATTGCTTCATAGTGCGGTGCTTAACCCCTTGTGCCACCAGGGAGGCCCCATTTTCACTTTAAATCTAATGCCTTAAGCTCCAAATATTAACTAATTCTCCAGAGTTTTAAAGTTTCCTTCAAAACCAAGAAAAACGGAACAGTAATGACAGCCAATTAGACCTCCTATATGTTTAAAAAAGAAACTGGGTCTCAGGGCCAAAGCAGAATGAAGAGGAAAGTAATTAAAGTATGCCAGCCTTGCACTGGGAAAGGACACAATTCTCTTTGCCTGCCATCCCCTATGTACACACACACACACAGAAGACTTTGCTTTGATGCATATTCTCTGAAATGTCATGAATCTTAAACAGAAAGCTCATGGGCTACATGGAAGACTGTTTTGAGGAGACAGTGACCTGTTTTGTTATTTGTGTGTTTGTGGTTTATGTTAGATACTTTGCCATTTAGATTTATTTCTTTTTTCTTTTGAATGAATAGCATCAATTCACGTTCTGAGGAAGACTTTATGTCCATAAAGTCCAAGGGCTGAGCAAACACTGTGCTCTACAGTTGTGACTGACGTAGGTTCAGTGATGGCCGGCTGGGACCTGCCCAGAGACTTACTCAGGGGACAGGAGAATGCACCATAAGGCAATGTGGCTTTCTGTTAGTGAGCTAACAGTTGGAAGACCCAGGAAATAATTTCATTATCCCTGTTTGCTCTTGTTTGCTTTTTTTTTAAGATTTATTTATTTATTTATACAAGAACCAGGGTACAGGCCAGAGGGAGGGTGAGAGGATTCACCAGAGACAGAGTGGGTAACAGAACAGGCAGACTGACAAAATACACTGCTGAGAGGAGCAGCTAGTGCGACAGGAGAGGTCTGCAGCACCATGTGGGACCCTTGCCTGCTGGCTGGGATCGAACCGGTGCTGCAGAGGCTGCGGTCAGCTTCGCAGCGCTGCGCTCAACCACCTGCGCCACCAGGGGAGGCCCTCTCGTTTGCTTTTCCACTATTATTTTCTGTGCCATTGCTCTTTAACATAAAGTCTTACATTTAACTGAGGATAGAACCTGAAACCTGAGCCCCATGATCGATGCAACCCATTCCCCACTCTCCAGTCCCCTACACAAGCCACCTTCCAAGTCTTCTTTCCCCAGGATCCTGTTCCTGCTCACTCCAGGCCTTTGGTATGTTCTGTTTGTTCTGCCTAGAACACTATCTGCCCTTCTCTCCACCTGCATTTGTCAAGTACTCCTGTGGCATGGACCCCTCAGATCTCGGCTTAAATACAGCTTCCTCATAGAATCCTTCTTGAATCATCAGATGAGGTCTGTAGACCTTGGGGTCTACAGAGTACCTTGGAGTCTCAAGAGTACCTTGTACTTTCTTCATGCCCTTCTCCCCATTGCCATGATGTTTATCTGTGATTATTAATTCACTGATACCACTGCTCCTCCAATCCCACCCAGACCCTCATAAAGATGGTGACCCATGTCTCTGTTCACCGTTCAATCTCCAGTGCCTGGTGCAGTGTCTGGCATAGAGTAGTTGCTCAATATTTTTTCATTTAACTCAGGAAAATAGCCACCCCTTGAACTGTCCTTAGTAGGTTTAATATGGCATTTATTTTTAAAATGGGATTAGTTTTGGTTTTAAAGGCCCAGTACTGTATCTCTGAAAAAATTACTCAACTTTCCTCGAAGTCTTTGACTATTTCATTTTTTTCTTTCAGGTGGGGACCAGGGTTTACTGAACACATTTTTTAGCAACTGGGCAACAGTGGATATCAGAAAACACCTGCCATTTATTTATAACCTAAGCAGTATTTCTATATACTCCTACCTCCCAGCATTCAAAGCGTAAGTGCAAACAGTTTAACTGTTCTTGGGGATGGAAAGGGTAAGGGGGTTGGGTTTAATATTTTTGGATGCCTTGGATGCTTTATTATCATTCTGAGGGTGATAACAGGTCACCTGAGGGAAGTCTTTCTCTGTGAGAAACAAGTTCTGTGATGGGAGAGGCCTTGATGTTCTGGGTCACGTTGTTTGCAGTAACCGGGAGGGTGATTAGCTGCACCCTTAGCTGGGGAGAGGTTTCTTTCGTTCCTGGAGTGCCTGACCCTCTGATAAATCATCTGTATGTCATGGTCAAGAACACAGACTGGGCACAGACCCAATTTCTGCTCTGACTGACTGCTGAGCTGCAGTTCTGTCACATCTAGAAAAGGGGTGTTAATAATGGCTCCCTCTCCTGTTTTGGGGATTCACGCAGATGCTGACTGCAGCCGTGGGGGGTGGGGTCAGGAATGGGGGCGGTGGCACTGACTACCTCAATTCACACCCTGGACTAGCCACTTCCTGGACGGTTACTGGTTGCTGAACTTCTAGTTCAGTAGATACTGGGTTAGTTACTGACGTTCCCCCTGAGGCAGTGTCCTCCAGTAGTTATCATGTGCATTAAGGAAGGTTATCATGTGAAGTGGTTAGAAGAGGGCCTCGCCTTAGGCATTCAGTAAATGTTAGGTTATTGGTCTCTTTTGTCTGGGAGGTTGTAGTGGCAGGAAGGGCACAGAGCAGGTTTTCTGTGATCCGAGCAGACCGGTAAAGGAGAATCCTGGAACCCTCGGTGGCTTTTTCAGGGTTTTATTGCCATTTTACCAGGTACACAGTAGCAGGGGTGCATGAGGTAGGGCCAGGAGGCTGTTAGGCCTCCCAGCCCCTGGTGAGTCTTCACTCTTTCTGGGCTCTCTGCATTCTCTGCTGGTTATGCTCTCGTTCTACTTCTCGTTCTTGTTCTCCTCCTGGTTCCACTGGTGTCCTGTGACACTGCCCTTAAAAGCCCAGTCTCTCAGCCCAGGTGTACCTACCTACACATATGCCCACACCGTCAGGCATGCATTCAAGGACCGCAGGGATCTATCATTAATGCTAATGGAGGGAGAGTGGAAAAGCCTGATAATTTTTCACTTACCCTACAGAGGTAATGTAGCAATGATAGTAATCTCTGAAGCCAGCAAGGCAGGACTGGTGTCCTCACGCTGCCACTTACCTACTGTATGACTTAGGCACTGTACCTTATTTCATATACAAAACAGGAAAGAAGCTAATACCTACCTCACAGGGTGATCATGACGATAATGAGTTCATATGCATAAAGTGCTTAGTGAAATACTGTTGTTTTTGGCAGTGTGCTCACTTGCCTTTATCCTTGGTGTGGATAACTCCATTAGCACAACCTAGTTGTGGTGCTTCTTTCCCTGTCAAGGCCTGGGTCCTGTTCTTTAGCAGCTGACTCATTTGTGTTGAGCCAGTTATCTTGAACAGAGGCCAAGCTGTCAGGCTGATCTTAGACCCAGCTGTGAGCAGCAAAGCTCACTGAATTGGGCCTGGCTCTCCGATCTGTGTCTGCTTGAGCATTCCTGAGTGAGCAGGACACAAAAAGGGCCCTTTACTCCTCATAGTTTACTATCTAAAGTCCTCTCTCAAAATCTTGCACCATGGAAATGAGCACTCTGGCTTTTTGTGACAGAAATGTTTCTTTTTATTCTTTTCTGGACAAACTCTGTCAACATCCCTCAGATAAAGAAGTAAAATATCTTGTGTTCTTTCCTCCCTAAGTGTCCTTTAGGTTTATGTCTCTGACACACTAGAGCCTCTTTTTTTTAAAAAAAAAAAAAAAAAAGAAAAAAAAAGATTGTACCTTTTGTATCAAGTGCATTCTTTTTTTTTTTTTTAAAGATTTATCCATTTATTTATACAAGCACTGGGCACAGTCAGAAGCGCGGGAGGGCGAGAGAATTCACCAGAGCCAGAGCGGGGAGCAGAGCAGGCAGAAGGACCAAAGTACACTGCTGAGGGGAGCAGCGGGCGGCAGGAGAGGTCTGCGCACCATGTGGGACCCTCCTCCGGTGGCCGGGGAGCAGGCCGGGATCGGGGATCGAACCTTCACAACCCAGCGCTCAACTGCTGCACCACCGGGGAGGCCCTGAGCCTCTTGATTTTGTTCCTTTTCTGTAGTGAAATAGGCAAGCTCACAAACATACCAACTGTGTTTCTAGTAAAGTAAGTAGAACAGGGTTCACTTTCAGGGGATGGAATAGGAGCAGCATTAATTTTGCCTCTCAGTCCTTGGCCTTGTAAAGAACAAACCTGTGTTCCTTGGCCATGTGGGCCTGTTTGTCTGTAATATTTATTGCCCCATAGCCAACCCTGCCAGTTTGAACAGTGTTTCAGCAAACCATGTTAGCTCTACCCCCTAGAACTGTAGGTCTGTAATAGGGCAGTTGCTTAATTTAATTACCAGATTCAGCTGAGCAGTGAAAACAGTGAGTGCAAAGGAGAAAAGACTCATTAGTAATATGAGTAATTCTACCTACCTTTCCATTCAATTCTGCACAGTGAGCATCTATCCTAGAAGGAATATGTTGGGGTCAATTCGGGCAGAGAGGTAAAGTAGAATCCCAGAACCTTGGGTGGATTTTTCAGACTTTAATGCTTTCTCAGGGAACCAGGTACACAGGCACACCAGGCAGGGAGGCCTGGCATGCAAGGAAGGAGACAGGGCAGGGGGCTGGGAGGCAGGCAGGCTACCAGCCCCCCAGGAATCAAGAATCTGTGCTCTTTCTCTGGGCTCCCTCTGGCATTCCCAGCCCCCTCCTCACCCCGCTTCCCCTCTCCCTTTCTTCCTACCCTCCTCTCTCCTCCCCACACCCCATAGCTGTTGCTGCTGCTTTTATCCTTGCTTCTAGGCTCAGATGTGCACACCCATGCACATTTTGCATTAACACAATCAAGGCCACAGATAATAGCCACAGAGGCTAGTGCAAAAAGCCTGATAGTTTATTTGCCCTACATTAGCTTTCACTCATAGCCTGATTTGCACAGTCATTGCCTGCATTTATTTTATTTTTAAAGAGAACAAGTGGCAGGTGGAACAGTTAAGTTTCGTTGTTTTTTAGAGAGGGGGGAAGCAATATACTTACTAGAAACTTGACCTCATCTCTTAGGAACTCAGTAGTTTTTATATACCCTAAATTAACTTCCCAGAAAAGCAGCTTGAGATCTAAATTTCCAAAATTGTTAGGATGGTTTCTTCCTCCTTGCTCAACAAATGAATGCTAATTTTGGAAATCTCCTTGGTTTATTGCCATAACCATAGAGTAGATGACACTCTGGGGATGTCGGGAGCAACTCCATCCATGAGCCAGATGTCAGGCAGCCTGTGGCCTCACTGAGGTTAGTGCTGCCTCTGTGTAGCTTGCCCTCAGGTTGTCAACTCCACATTTGTGTGATAGGACTGCTCACAGTGATGCCTTGTCTCACTTCATTGCTGCCTACTTAGGAATGTTGAAGCTAGATCAGAAGTATCATTTTCAGTTTCCTCTGTCAGAAAATACTTTGTTTTCCTTATGGAAATCCTTCTCCAGAGATACTTTCCTTACATTTTTCTTGCTATTGGGAAGGATTGAAAAGGCAGGTAGTTATATTTCCTTTTTGTGTTAAGTTAATGTAAAATTTGTTCGAACTCTTTTAAGCTGAAATAGCCTATCCTGAACATCAGGGCCACCATAGCTGCTCCACAAATTGCCATGTGGGTTTCTGAGGGCTCATGAATTTGAAACCCCCATTCTTGGACTCAGAGTAAGAGTAATCTCCAGGACCAAGTGGTCCTGTGGTATATTGGCCTTCCCTAAAACTGTATGGATAGTGGCAGATAGAATGAGAACCCATGAGTGATTTACAGCAACTTGAGCATCATGGAAAAAGTAATTGAGAATTTGTCTTACTAATTCCAAACTATGTGCCATGAGGTCCCCAAGGCAGTATTTAAATGTCCCAGTATCTTAGAGCTTGGGATATTTTGGAAGAGTGTAATCTTTGCTATCATAAGTTTTCCATAAAAAAAAAAGGCATAACATAAAACAAACAACATGAATTTGAGCCATGAATGTTGCATATCTAATGCTTTCATCTACCTATTAATTTATAATATATGAATTGGAAAAGAAGTTCATAACTTTGTTTATTAATGAAATAATATTCCTGCAAGTATCTAGCATAATGTTTGGGAAGTGTGTTTTTAGGTAACTATTGGTTCCTTTTAAGTTTTCTCCGTATCTATCCATATAGCACAGAATTTCACTTGTGCATGGTACTAGGCAAAATCTCATTAGTCTTCTTAAACCAGTCATTTAGTTTAACTGTAGTTTTCTATTCAATCCACTAACTAAAAGCTGTTTATGTCATGTTCTGTGGACCTAAAACAAAGAAAAAGAAGTCTCTGGTATTGTTTCCAACTGCTATAAACTGATTGACAACAAAGATTGACTTAGCAAATAACTTACAAATAAATATTTTAACTTACCCTTTTACTTGAGTTTAGATTATCTGGGACTTGGCCTGTTCTAGTCTCAGAAACTAGATCTAGAAACCTAAAATATATCCATTTGTTTATTGCCTTAAACTTTTCTGAGAATATTTGTATCCATTATTTTTTTTTAAAAGATTTTATTTATACAAGATCTGGGGTACAGGCCAGATGCGCGGGAGGGTGAGAGGATTCACCAGAGACAGAGCGGGGAACAGAACAGGCAGACTGACGAAATACATTGCTGAGGGGAGCAGCGGGCGAGATAGGAGAGATCTGCCGCGCCGTGTGGGATTCTCGCCAGCTGGCGGGCCATTGAACTTGCGCTGCAGAGGCTGCAGACAGCTTCACAGTGTGGCACTCAGCTGCCTGCACCACCAGGGAGGTCCATGTATCCATTATTTCTTTTTCAGGAATGTGGCTTATTCACTAAGAACTTACTAGGCCTCTTTAAAATCAATGTTTTCCAAAAGTGAAATTTTTGGAAATGTCC